AAACAGTCCCTGCTCTCAAGGAGCTTACAATCTGGTGGAAGGATATAACATTCAAATAACTATGTAGAAACACAGTATTGGGCCTTCTGAAAAGCATTGTAAAGTTATTCTGAAGAAGCACTTTTGTGACTGTAACAAGAAAACAACTTCCAGCAAACTGGGTAAATATGTTGTAGCTCTGCATCAGAACACATTTGTTGGAGGCTTGGTTCTCTTTCTAATTTGTACTCATACTAGGTTCATGTTTCCTGACCTCCTGTAGTGATCTACTATCTATCTTCTATTTTCATAGATCACACTAGTTCTATCTACCTACTTTCTATCCTATTTACATTGTAAGCTTCTATTAGACAATAAATTCTTTGATTTTAAGAGATTCTGAGATATTTTTCCCTCTATATCCTCAACTTCTATCATGGTGACTTCCTCATGGCAAGTGATTAAATATTTGCTACATTGAATTAAACACATGACAACAGTTTTCAGAATATAATTCCTTAATCTCAATGCCTTAATTTCAATATTACAAATATTTTACACATGTAAATTAAAAATCCCAAACACTTTAGATGATCCAGAAGAGCTAAATTCATGTCATTCACATAAAGGCAATGTAGTGCAGTGACAGTAGCAGCAGATTTGGAATTCAAGGACCTAGGTTCAAATCTACTTGTCATTATTTTAGACAAAAGAATTGGCTAGATCGTATGATCTATAAGGGTCCTCCTAGTTCTAAACAGTTTGACTCTGTAAAGATAAGCTATAAAAATAATGGTATTAAACAACACATTTAATTTACTGTCCTTGGTATTATGAACTTTACTCTTTAATAACATAAAGTACAGTAAACATGACATAATCTAACTTTCTATCACTTCCCAAATAAAAACTTCCCTTCCTGATCTTTTAAAAAATCATCCTGATTAGAAAAAGCACAAATACAATTAGAATTAGATTAGAAAAGCACAAATTCACATTATTATGTGAATGTTTTCAACATTATCCCAACAAAGTTCCTGGGTATAACCAGCAAAGAGACTCTTAAAGATAGCTGAGACCACAGGGTCATTTTATTCCTGACCCTTCCTTCTATAATTGAAAATGCAAGGGCAATAATAGTCTATTTGGTAATGGAGACATATTCATTAAGAGGAGATAGACTATAAAATTTCAGAGACCACTGAACAGCTGCAATGATGTTCAGTCACTAGTGACTGACATAAAATACTTACAATCCCTTTACCATCCCTCTGAGTTTAAGATCCCATGTATCTTGAAACTTCATATATCATTTTTGTTTTAGTCTATTTCTTTATCAGAAAAAAATCACCCAGACCCACTTCACTCATATTTGCATGAAGTCCTTCTTCCAAAAGGAAAAATAATTGAAAATTGAATCAAGCAACTTCAATAAATATTTGCTGCAGTTTGCCAGACTATAGTAGGTAACCTCTTAAAAGTTTTTGGTCGGCTGATTTAAGAGGTAAAAAAAAGTTCAAATGATAAAAATCAGACGTAGTCATTGAATTAATGTCTTAGTTGCAAATATATTTATTCTTGTTTCTTGGGGATAAACAAAACCCCCCAAAGATTGAGCTCTAGTAAATGATGATTCCGTGTCAAATCTATGAAGGCACTGTTGGGAATGGTGCAGTATGGTGCAGTAAGTTACATGAATGGCAGCCCATGTGAAAATCAGGTTCTTCCAATTGACAATTGCTTTCCCACGCTTAGCAGCTAATGATATTGAGCTCCCCTTCATTACTTACAAAAGCAAGCTATCTTATCAGCATTTAACAGATAATCCCTACCTCAACCTCCAATTGCCGCTCCCCTCCCACCTCTCTAGCTATGTTTGTCAATGCCAAAGTCTCTCCGATACTTCAGCCACCTATTCTTTCTACATTATTAGAACTGACACAATCCAGCACATATCAATGTTTTTCTTAAGATATGGTACCCAGAACCAACCCCAGTATTCTTCTAGGCATGATCTAGTAGTGTGAAGCAGTACTATTACCTCCCTGTGCACCTCTCTACATATCCTAAGACTATGTTAACTCCCTGACTATTCTTTTTCCTACCCACAAACTCTAGTACCCCAACCCCACCCCCACATAATTGAGTAGAATATAAGACACTTGAGGGAAAGGATCATTTAAAATTTTATCCCAAGCACCTAGCACAGGCCCTGGCATATAAAAGGCCCTTAATAAATGCTTGTTAATTGACTGATGGATGGATGCCCTGGTAACAAGTTAATGTTGAATGCTTACCTCTCTCTTTTTACTTAAAGTATTCATAAATCCTTATTAAGATTAATTCCTCTATTTAATCCCTATCTTCTTTCCTTCTAAGACCTTGCTGTAGCAGTAACCCTTTCTCTCTCAGGTATCTTCAATATCTTCTTCACAGCCCTCATATGCCTATAGATATATTCACTTTGCCCCAATCCTAAATAAACTTCCATTGGTTTTCCCAACTTTTCTAGCTATCAAGTCATCTGATTCCTCCCATTCACTGAAAAACATTTTTAAAAAGTGAAATATCTGCAGAGTCTATACTTTGTTCCCACCCATTCTCCCCAAACCCTCAGCAATCTGGCTTCCATTGTCACCATTATGGAAAAATCACTCTTAAAAACCACCACCGCCTAGTGCCAAAGCTAAAGGCATCTTCAATTTTCATTCCCCTTCCTCTTTTCTCTTCATATGACACAGCTAAATACCCAACTCTTTTTTCTGGATAATCACTCCTCCTTTGGCTTCTGAGATATTACAACCTTGTGTTCTACCTGCCCTTCCCCTAAATTCTCATCTTCTTCCACAAGGTTTAATCACCATCTTTTTTCTCTTCTCCCAAACTATAATTTTTCTCTCTGACTTCTCATTTTCTGTCTGTCCGAGTGTCTGTCCCTCTGTCTCTTCTCTCTAATCTATTATCAAGTTCTATTCATTCTACCTCCATAATATATCTCATATCTGGCCCATTCTCTCTGTTCTAATTGACTTTTCCCCAAATATAAAGCCCTCATTACATCTACCTGGACTCTTCCAATAATCTCCTGAGAAGTCCTCCAGCCTTTACCTACTTTTCAAACCTATTCTTCATACTTTTGTAGACTAATCTTCCTTATGTGCATAGAGCTGGTCTTAAATTTTTTGCTCAAAATGCTTTCATAGTTTTCAATTATCTACTGAATAGAGTACAAAATCCATAGTCTGGCACCCGAAGCATTTCACAATCTGGTGCCACCAGATTGTGTCTGTGTTCCAGTCATAGCTCACATTACTCTCTTATATCTAACTCTATATTCCAGCCAAACTGAACTATTCATTCATCACCATATAGTTTAGACCTCTGTGATTTTCTCATGTTATTCCTTGTGCCTGGAATGACTTCCTTTCACTCTGCCTGGTAAATTCTTGCCTATCTTTTTTTAAAATTCCAACTCAAATGCCACCTCCAACATTAAGCAATTCATGACTGCATGTCCCTGCTATCCCACACACTGTAGCTGTCTACTACCAGTTGGGAATCACCCCCCCTCCCCACCTCAGACCTCACATAGTACTTTTTTCTGCACTTTCATTAATTTATCATGCATTATTTTACATTATAGTTATTTATGTGTGGCATATCCCTGCAGTAGACTGTTAGCTACAAAAAGGAAAAGAACATGTCTTATCTAGACTACATGTTTATACTCATAGTGTAACATATGGTTATGGAAAGACTAAATAAATGTCTATTGAACTTTTTGTAAGGACAATATATAACATCTGAAAAGAGGTGTGCCAGTTTCATGGGGGGAAATTTCATTTCTAAGATCAGATAAACCAGCTATTTAATGTTCCACAATAGCATCTCTGCTTGCAATCTTTGAAAGAGAAAAGAGCTACTGAGACATTCAAGTGATCCCCACTTCCACCCACAACCTAAGGTAGTATTTCTTTATTTGTTGTAATAGTTCTTTACTCTCACACATTACATTATTTCAGGTCTTCAAAGGGTTTTTTTGTAGATAATGGAAAGTGTAGAAATCATCCTTCATTAATTATTCTCTGCAATTCGTACTTTTGTTTTATTGAGAACAAGGATTCACCTTATTTTGCTCTGGTAAGAGAAAAAATGTGCCACAAACATATTGAAGAGGCATAAGAGAGCAGAAAATTATTTGGGGAAACTAAACTTTGTATTGTTTTATTTTCTTCTCAAATGTGTGTATAATACACAAAGAGGAGAGAATAAACAAATTAATAGGGAAGGACAAAGAATAAGTTTGCATACGCTTTATCTAAAACTTCTCCTAAAAGGACTCTGAACTAATATCATTTATCTACATCCTAATGAACATTAAAAAAAAAAATAGGATCATAGGCGTTACAACTGCAACAGACCTTAGAGACTATCGAACATAAGCTCATCTTTTCAGAAATGGCAGTAAAGTGACTTGTCCCACATCACACAGGGCATAAGTAACAGAGACCAAATTCAAACTCATGAACTCTATCTTCAAATCCAATAATAATGCGCTTTCCATTCTACCATGCTACCTCTTCTACACTGCTAACAACTGACATGTTTTGAAAATTCAATATGAGTTCCCAAGCTTTTCATATTTAAAGTAAAAACGGTATACAATATCTTCTTTTTTTTTGTTTTGTTTTGTTTTGTTTTTGCTAGGCAATGGGGTTAAGTGACTTGCCCAGGGTCACACAGCTATTTGAACTCAGGTCCTCCTGAATCCAGGGCCGGTGCTCTATCCACTGCGCCACCTAGCTGCCCCCTCAATATCTTCTTAACAAGAGATAAATTAATCATAACATATGCAGAAGATTAAATTGTACCAAGTTCTTAATTTTTTTCAAGGTAATCTTGGTCTTATTTGTGTAAACTGTTTTTGTTTTACAAATCAATGTAAAGTTACAAAATGAGCTGAAACATGTTGGTATTTTAAAGCATCATAATTAGCAATATTTATTATAAATAAAACATACCTGAAAAAGAACATGTACATGGCAGCTGTGATGCAGAACAAAAGAACCTATAACCAGAAGAAAATAAATTATTTGCAAATAATGTTCAAATATCAACACAATCATTTATGTTTCTCTCTCAAAAATTAAGTAAGCTAAGTATTTTTAGGTAGGGAGTTAGTTCTATATTTTATCACTGACTACAGTTATTTTAAAAGAAGTCATTTTTTTCCATTAGCTATTCAAGCTTAAAATATACAGAAAATAGGGAGTAAATTAAAAGTAATCAGGTGAAGTTAGGTCTGATAATTCACTAAGTTAAGATGGCAATGTAATAGTTACAAAGAAGGCCCAATAAGTGTTGTTCATTAGACTGAAAAGCACCCTTCTGTTCCCAAAAAAATATGAAGGAAATGATGAATTTATAATACATTGTTTCTTGCAATAGTGTTCATATAATTCTCAGGAAATACAGTGCTACTGCTGTCATCACCGCTGCATGTAAGCATTACATAAAAAACATAAGTCTGACCCAGTCCAATAACAAAGAACCGGAGACATAGTATATGAATACCTTTTAGCTTCTTATCACAATCTGACACATCCAAGAAGCTTATATACATGTGATCTGGAATACCACAGACTCTGGACCAATATTTGTCAAAGGCTATAATTACAGTTTTGTTTTGGTTTTTGCCTCCAAAATAATTAAAACACAGATCTTGATTCCTTTTTAAGTTGTTAAAAGGGGGTAAGGGGGAACCAAGTGATGGATACTAGTCATATGACTTAAAGAATTTAGAGCTAACAAGGCCCTTACAGACAACGAGGCACAACATTTTCATTTTAAGGGAAAAGAGAGGCTCAAGGAAATTAAGTAATTTGCCCAAAGTCTCACTGGTAATAAGTAGAGGTGACTACATTAGAACTAGGTCCTCTGACTCTAATTCTAAGACTCCTTCCATTACATCATGGTGGGTCTACTGACCCCTAGATTTCTTAGCTTACTCAGACCTCTAGCCCTTTTTGTTCTCAAAGCACACCTCAAAAAGCTACTATGCCCTTTCCATAACTTATCAATCCTTCTTTTTTTATTCAAGTAGCTTACCTATTTCTCTCCTTAATTGGAAGATCATGAGATGATAGAATTTAGAGCTAAGAAGGGCCCTTACACATCCCGTAGAGCAGAGGTTCTTAACTCAGGGTTCATGAACTTGTTTGTTTAATACTTTGATAACTGTATTTGTAATTCAGTATGATTGGTTTCCTTTGTATTCATATATATTGTATTTTGTGCATTTTAAAACATTATTCCGAGAAGGGACTCACAGGTTTCACCAGAAGGCCAAAGGGGGTCATAACACAAAAAGTTCAAGAACTCCTGTCTTTGAACAACCTCCTCATTTTTCAGATAAAGAAACTAAGACCCAGAGAGATTAAGAGATTTGCCCAAATTCAGAAAGGTAGTAAGTAGCAGGGCCAGTATTTCAACACAGACCGTCTTGATTTCTGTGTTACTAGCACCTCTCTGTATGGACTTTCCATTTCATGGCTATAAGAAATTCCTGGGGAGGACACTTTAGCCACGCAGATTTACAATTGCTCAGAAATCTGAAGTCTTAAAGAGCTGCCTGGGACATTGAAAATGAAGCAACTAAGCCAAAACCATACAGCCAATATCTGTCACAGAAAGCATCTGGGCCCACTTCTATTCATTCTGGGACCTGGTCTCTAACCACTATCCCATACTTACACAGATTATTCATATGTTATTTAATGTACAAAATTCAGTGCTTGTTCAGTTGTCATTATTTAGGTTTGGCTGAACTACAAAATATAGGAGGCTCTGAATTTCCAGAGAGAAAGGAAGTAACCTTATTCAGAACTTAGCTATCCAAAGACGTTAAGGTCTTAATTAAAAAAAAAAAAGTGATGATATGAAGTTCTAGTGCTTAAATATGAATTCGAAATGGAAGATAATTCTGGCCTTTCCTTAAGACATCAAACTATCTCGCAAATTCTTAGACACTGTGCCAGGTGGTAGGAATATAAAGACAAAAATGAAACCATGCCTGCCATCAAGGAGCTAAACATTATACATGTCTGCACTTAAGTACATACAGGATATATCTCAAATAAATGCAAGTGATATTTTTGAAGCGAAGGGACATTTACAAGTGTGGGGGAAGGGATCAGGACAGGTCTCTCAAGAGAGGCGGCACTTGAGAGACTTACAAGAGGCGAAGGTGAGGAAGGTGAACAACTCAGATGAAGGAGATGGATTGTTCAAAGGCACAAAAGAGAGAGACAGAACATCATGTACGAGTAATAGAAGGAGGGCAGTCTAGTAGAATGCTAGTTTGTGGAGAAGAGTAATGTGAAATCAATCTGGAAAGATAAGCAAGGGGCAGTCTGTGACGGCCTCCAAATGTCCCCCTGGAGGTATCCCAAGGGAAATGGGAAGTTACTGAAGCTTCTTAAACAGAGGAGTAACATGGCCAAACCTATGCATTAAGAATACCAAATTGGGAACTGTGTGGAAGATGGACTGATGAGGGAAGAGACTGGAGCCAGGAAGAGCAATTAGGAGACCATTAAAATAGTTCAAGAGAAAGATGATGAATATCTTAATTAGGGTGATTATGGTATAAGTAGAGAGAAAGGGGTATGAAAGATGTTGAAATAGTGGAATCAATAAGACTTGGTAATTGATTGGATGGGGGTGGGAAGAAAGAGTGAAGAGTCTTATAAACCTGTGTGACTGACTAGAAGAATAATAGCACTCTCAAAAGAAAAAGGGAAAGTCAGGAGGAGACCTGGGTTTAGTCAGATAATGAATTCTGTTATGCATGTTCAGTAGGAGATACCTAATCTAGATGAATATGTCCAGCTGGAGATTCAGGAGCTCAAGAGAGGTAAGAGCTGAATATGTAGATTTGGGAGTAATCAGAAAAGATGTCAAATGAATCCCCTTCAGAAAATAGATGAAAAAAGTCACTGAAACTTAGACTGTGTATTACATGTCATATTACACACCAGAAAACCTTATTAAGTCTATATTTATGTTTCAGACCATGTATAATCAGACCAATGCCTATTCTCATGTTCATTAGAGAATGTATGGTTACTTAATTTTAAAAAATTGAACATAATCCAAACCTAGTCAATATAAGGTCTATTTTTTTGAGGTCCTTACATTTCATATTAGGAAAGCTTTGCTAAAGTTGAAATTCTTTTATCTCCCAATATTCAAAAGAATAATAATAACCAAAAAGAAGAAAAGCATACTTTACAGCCAATTTTTCAACACATAACAAAATTATGTTAAAGAAATATTAGAATTTTTGAAAATCAGATGAAGAAAATTGATTATTTTAACTGAATGAAATGTGCTCCCACAATCTTTTCCTGATATGGTTCATTTTTCTTGATTTATGCCCAAGGGTCAACAAGCAAAGCTTGGCAACATATTAACCTTAAATTTTTTTTTTCCAGCTGTAAAAACAGTAATGTCAGATAAATGGTTGAAGAGGCTATATATTCAAAATCCTGCCCTTTTATGGAAAGTAGTTAAACTAGATCACAACTACTTAAAATTAAATTACTGAAAGATAGGTGGCCATTCACAGACACCAAGGTTATGTAAATGTCTAGTAATTAATGCACATAACACAGAACCTAGAATCTTTATACAATTTCAAGTCCTGAGGGTAGACTTTGCAAAAATCATTTAAATACCTTAAAATGACTTCTCAAGGAAAAAGGAATAGACAAGAAAGTAGATGGAAAATCTAGTATTAATAAAAAAGCAAAGCAAAACCCATAAACAAGTAAAACACAAAACGATAAGAGTTGAAGTTTATTGAAATTAAAGGTTAATCAAGGACCTGTATTTGAAAGCTGCGGCAATGTTCAGCTATGTTTTTTCCTTTGTTCCTCTTTCTTTGCCATCTCTTTTGTTTGTTTTGGACGTTTCATTAAAATACATCTCAAAAAACAGGAGGAGGTAACTATGTAAAAAGAAAGGAAAAGCCAAGAAAAGTTGGGGAAAGGAATCATTGCTTGGGATGAGGAGGTGACTGACAGGAGGTATGGAAAGTGACTAAAAACAAAAAGGCTAGAGAAAAGCTAGAGAAAGATAAAAGGACTGGGGAAGCTTTTATTATTGTTAAATTTGGGTCCAATCCTTGCTGCTTATTTGAGGAGGGTATAATCTCTATAGCACCCTCCACTTTATCCTTTAATCTTTCCTACAACCTAGGAAAGTCAAGACATTCCAACTAATGAATTGGAGATTGAACTAGATCCTGTTGATTTAAAGAGCCAGGATACAAGAATGGACCCTAATCTAGTGTAATGGGAAAATTAAGTAGCCTTGAGAATATCTATAGAATTTCAGTCAATTGAGAAAAGGCATATCAAACTTAAAAAATGTTAAGGTATTGAAAAAGTTAGCTAACAAACATAATTATACATAAGGTCATACATACATGTGGCTTTCTTGGCTCACTACCAAAATATGAGTTTACTGTGGTCAAATTTGGAAATGTCCTTACATAACTGGTGTGGGAGCCCCAATCCTTTACTTAATGTAGCAAAATGCAATTCAGCAAAAAACTTGCATGTCATTTAGCAGCTGGGGTAGGTGGTGAGGGAACCTACATAAAATTCAGAGCACAGAGAAGCTGAAAAAATACTGTGTTTTCAGCAGGGCAAAGAAGCTAAGTCGTCTAGATGGAACATTCCAGTTATATACAGATAAATGAGGGGGAACCTTATCCTCACCCAAACAATGATATTCATATTAACCTCAAACAGGAATGATAAGCAGGCCTAAGGCATTACTCCCTAGCCCAGATGACTCTTTAAAAAATGTTACCTAAAGTAGTTTCAATAGGCAACAGCAGTGCCACTACAAACACAGCATAGCTTTACTGAATAGCTTTATATTTTAAGAAACTTTCATATTGCTTCTAACTACACTTGGCTAGTAAAACAGCATTCACTGCTTCAGGCAGCTACTGTCAAGAACCTAACAGCTGCCATCCAGCTGAGTTCCACATGTTTG